TAGAACTCGCCCCGGATTTTAACATGGAATCGGACATCGACTACACTACGAGCGCCCTGGAAGAAGTACTCGTTGCGGCAGCTAAAATCTCTACTCCTCATAGGAAAGAAGTAGACCGAAACAAACACTTCAAATCTAATCAGCAAATCGAACAGCTCGTGCGAGAAAAGAGGCGCACGCGTCGTGATTGGCAAAACAGCAGATCACCAACTTCAAAACAACGCCTTAAGGAAGCAACCCGATCACTCGACCAGGCTCTTCACCAACAGGAAGAAAATGCACAGCTGAGGTACATCCAGAATCTCTCGCCAACAAGCACAAAGTACCCCCTGTGGAGGGCCCACCCAAATCTTAGTGCCCCAATTGAAACGACCACCCCGATAAGAAACTCTTCGGGATGCTGGGCTCGCAGCAACGAAGACCGAGCTGAAACATTCGCCACACATCTCCAAAGTGTCTTCCAGCCAAACCCAGCCTCAAATTCATTCCTCCTGCCAGTAATTCAGCCAGAGTCCTCCCCTCAGCCAGCCGCACCTCCATTCCGGCCGAACGAAATCGAAAAAGTCATAAGAGGGCTAAAACCAAAAAAGGCTCCCGGTGGTGACCTATTGACCCCAAAGATGCTGATCGAACTTCCAAAATGCGCTATAGAGGTCGTCTGCAAACTATTTAATGGAATCATTAATCTTGGCTATTTCCCAAAAAGTGGAAGAAATCCATTATTATAATGATACCGAAGCCTGGAAAAGACCACACAATTCCGTCATCATACAGACCAATAAGCCTTCTATCTTGTTTGTCTAAACTGTTTGGAAAATGCTTGTTAACTCGCATAATACCACATCTGGAAGCTTGCAATATCATCCCGGCACACCAATTTGGCTTTCGAAGAAACCATGGAACCATCGAACAAGTGAACAGATTAACATCCGAAATACGCTCAGCCTTCGAACAACGAGAATACTGCAGCGCTATTTTCCTCGACGTATCTCAAGCTTTCGACCGAGTTTGGCTCATCGGACTCATGCACAAAATTAAAACGTATTTGCCAACATACACCCACAAGCTACTGGAATCATACCTCTTCAATAGGGTATTCTCAGTGAGATGCAACGCAGCTACTTCGGGCGACTACACCATCGAAGCTGGAGTTCCACAGGGAAGTGCACTCGGGCCGTGTCTATATGTTTTGTACACTGCGGATATTCCTACGAGCGCACAACTAACAACGTCAACGTTCGCCGATGATAACGCTATTCTTAGTCGCTCCAGATGCCCAACGCAGGCAACAACCCAAATGGCTAATCATCTCACAATAGTGGAAAGGTGGCTGTCCGACTGGCGCATTAAAATAAACGAACAAAAGTGTAAACATATAACGTTTACTCTTAATAGACAAACATGCCCTCCGCTTTTACTAAACGGTATGCAGATCCCTCAAGCTAACGACGTAACGTACCTTGGCGTTCACCTTGATAGACGACTTACCTGGCGTAAGCACATCGAATGCAAAAAGATGCATCTAAAACTGAAAGCCAGCAGCCTCCACTGGATCATAAACTCACGATCGCCACTGTGCCTAGACTACAAGTTACTACTGTACAATTCAGTCCTAAAGCCAATCTGGACGTATGGCTCCCAGCTGTGGGGGAACGCGAGCAGCAGCAACATAGACATCATACAGCGCGCACAATCAAAAATCCTGAGAACTATCACAGGGGCACCTTGGTATGTTCGCAACGAAAACATCCACCGGGATCTGGGCATCCTCGCAGTGAAAGACGAAATCCAGAAGCAAAAAGAGTCATACAAAGAAAAACTGTCTTCGCACCCAAATTTTCTCGCTCGGGGATTGACTCGGGTTTCTAGCGTATCCCGCCTTAGACGCAACGACCTCCCAACCCAGCAATCGATTTTTAGGGCCGTCTAACTCCGTATCAGTCAATATGACTGTTAGTTAAGTTAAAAATATAAGATTTGATACACCTCTTGTTAGTCTCGCAAAGAGAAGATTCAAGAAATAAAAGCAACGTTAAAATAAAAAAAAAAAAAAGCGATCCCATTAATAGAATACATAGCTTGCAGAGGGCAAGAACGATGAAAAGACATATGCTTGCATTTTGATCCATTAAGTATTAGATCATTAGCTAAACACCATTTTTGAAAGTTATCAAGGTCAGACTGAAGACTGCATTGGGCAGAGATGGATTTATACTGAAGACAAAGCTTTACATCACCTGCATACATAAGAACTAGAGAGTTCGTTAAAGCAGGGGTCAAGTCGTTTATAAAAAGCCTAAATAATAACGGGCTAAGATGACTACCTTGAGGGACGCCAGATGTAGCACGGGCCAGACGGGACTGTATGTTTTTAAATAAGACTCTTTGTGTCCTTCCATCTAAGTAGCTGGAGATCCACGTTAAGAGGTCTTTAGGAAACCCCAACATATTCAGTTTACTCAACAAGAGTGAGTGATTAACTGAATCAAATGCTTTGCTGAAGTCTGTGTAAATTACATCGGTTTAATATCCCTTACAAAAGCCATCTATGACAAAGGATGTCAACTCCAATAAGTTTGTGGTGGTGCAGCGACGCTTAATAAAGCCATGCTGACAAGGAGTGATAATCGAAGAGCAATTATGAATGATTCCTTCCACTTAAGGGGAAAAATCGAGGTTTCCAAAGATAAGTTGAAACGTCTTAGAAGAGGTTTGCACAGAGCCCTGGCACAGTACTTTAGCATACAGCCTGGTACTCCATCGGGGCCTGGCGAATATATGGGTTTGACCCTCAGATAATAAGTTGTTCTCAGAGAAAAACGGACAGAAAATAAGATTTGCTGCTTGAATGTTATATGCGTAAGGCTGATATGTCAATTTAGGCGGAGAATAAGTTGTTTGAAAAAATTCTGCGAATAGATCCACAATGGCCTGATCAGAGGTCGCAGAGGAATTTTCAAACGTAAGCAGAGGTGAAAAAGATACGTGTTTACGCTTAGTGCTTACAAAATTATGAAACTGCTTTGGATCCTGAGTAAATTGAATCCGGCAGCGGCGAATATAATTCCTATAACATTCAGCGTTATGCACGGTAAAATTTGACCGAGCTAGTAGATATCTTGAAAAATCAATACTACTGCAGGTTTTTTTTTTTAAGTTAAAGCTTATTTTTAGTATTTTTGAGGTTAGTGAGGCACCTTGTACACCAAAGAGGATTTGTTGAAGCGGACGGATATTTCCATGGCACACATGAGTCAAAAAATTTATTTAAAGTACAATAAAATTTTTTTAAGGTCACGTTAAGATCAGTGCATGCCAGAATATCAGACCAGTCATATGTATCGATAAGGCTATTAAGTTTATGGAAATCAGCATTGCGGAAACAGCGAATCTTATTTAAACAGCGAACAGCGCGTGGAGACATCTGATCGATACCAGTAATGGTTTCGATCTATACCTCCAGCGTGGGGTGATATGGATCATCTGGGGTTGAGAGAGGAAAAGCTCTGGAGAAAGCGGTACCATCAGGATGAGATACAAAAAATAAGTCTAAAAGCCGACCTAATTTCTAACATGGTTAATCTGACCTAGGGACATGTCCAACATGCCCGCTGTGAAGTCATGGTGAGTAATGAGTGACAAAGATGGTGAGTTATCGACGTTGGACCACTTTAATTCTGGTATATTAAAGTCGCCCACCGCGACGAGCTGGTCACGATGAGTCATAAGATTAAAAACGGATTGAATAGCGGACAAAGGCTGCCAATATATGTTACCAAACTCTTGTGATTTCACCTCTTCAGAAGCAAGAGTGGAGTCTACCGAAATTAAGACTCCACACCCCCTTCGCTGAGGTCGATCCCTTCTAAAAGTGGTGTACTTACTTGGAAAAACTTCGGAGCTAAAGTTCTCCGGCTTTAACCAAGTTTCGGTAAAGGATATAATATGGGATGCAAAGAATATGGGTGAACAAATCGTCTTGCTGACAACCTTATAGACAACGTTCCTTTGCCTAACGGGCCAGTAGTGGGCATAAGAGCCAAGATAGAGATTGATTTCATAAAAGTTCGTAATGATGGCTGATTTCACAACTTCCGCAATTTTTGAAAAATTTCACACCAAAACTGCGAAAACAGTTGTTCTCAAGCCGTAACGTAATGTGTTTCGGATAAGGATCATCTAAAAGGGTTAATCAGATCTATTTCTGCAATCAGATCTATTTGCGACTGGGACGATCAGTTTTTTTATAAAGTTGTTGTTTATTACGTTCATAAGGAATCTGGATTAACGTATGCACTGGTCAAGAGATCTACAGGCGAATTTTTTAGGAAGATATTACTCCAATTTTTGACCTGGCTTTGTAAAAGCTATAATTCGCAAGAGAAATGGAAACTAATAATCTTTCTGTTAAAATTTCGAAACTTCTATTGATTTCTACCTGTTCTATCTTGCATTTAATTTATCGCTAGCACGCTCAATTCTCGACCTTAGATTATCCGAAGCAAAACCACCGAAACCAAGACATCCAAGCCAACAAGCAACTTTAAAACTTAATCTAGCTTACAAGAGAGCAACAATAAAGAAGATATTGCAGAATTTAAATTTTCTCACTCAAATATGGCACTGCTTCGGGTGCAGCAATACGGCTTTATTTGTATATTTTGAAGTAAGAATTGAAAATTTGTTTCAAAACCCGAGATTGATAAAAGTTGACCGAATTAAAAACACAAGCACGCAAAAAAACATGTCCGTTTGTTATATAGAGAAGCAAAATATAGAACCAACACCATATTAACAGCCAATAGAGCCAGTTGACCTCAGTGGCCTTTCGGCAGCGGATGGGTGATATTGTACTTTTTTTCTTTCAGTACCGCCTTTTTGGATGATTAGACTTTTTGTCAAAAATAATATTTAGGCCATTAACAAAAAAAGAAACAATATAGCGGTCTAGTCAATCTGGTGTCTTCTGTTTTGTAATACATATATACAGATATATTTACCATCATTATTATGTTGAGCAATATATAGCTATTTTTATATATAAACGTCGTAATATCAAAAACCATATAGAAAAACTGTTCAAGCATTGAAGGTTCTGCCTTGACCAATATGCCATCCTTTTTATCTTTCATATAAAATTCATAAGAAGAAATTTCGTTTATTTTAGGACGTAAATTCAGACGAATTGTGTTAAAAGTATTTTCATAGTGCGAACGGTTAATTAGGCTTAACGTTGACACAAAATAAGCTAACATTAGTGCGATAGGACTCAGATAAGAGTCCAAGTACAATTTGTGATTGAAAACCATAATGTGGTTATATCTATTATCGTCAGACAGGCTTAGTAATAATTCCATTCCCATTATTCTGAAACGAAAATTTATTTGAGATATAAATATATGATTGTGTACATAATATTTTATTTTACCGCGTCCATGTTGTATTCTTTTCAAATAATTGCTGCGAAACCGGCAATTGGTATGAAAAAATACATACTATATGAAATAGAAGCGCAAAATCCACAAACATAAAGAGATGATAAATCCATCTGATAGAATTTATATTTAAAATAGTTTTCATAACGGATAAAGTTATAGGTACCGGTGCAATTTTTGATACAACGACCAATAAGTTCCAGCTACGATAAAAATAAGAAAATACAAGCTACCAGGTAATGAAGGTCTTAAGGTTGCTGCTAAATATAGTAGAATTAGGTAAAAAATAGGAGCTAATAATTTTAATTAAGAAAGATTAAGGAAACAAATATTACATTGAAAAACTTACAAGTTTTTAGAACCGATTGGATGTAAACGATTATGAGCAATCTATTCATCTCAGATAACTTCAATGTACTGGCTTTAGTGCAATGTACTGAATTATTTTCTTGAATTGGATTACCAAAAACAGTTTTATGAAAAACTTTAAAAAAAATAAAACAAATAATTGTATTTAAGAAAACTAGAGCATCTGGAAAAATCCAATAGGCGATGGGTCCAAAACTAAAATATAAGTAGGCGATAAAATATCCATTTGGACTTTTAAATCTTACCTTAGGCCTTTAAAATATAGAAACCCGATTTGCCGCAAAAAGTATGTAAATGATTTAGTAGAATGTAAGTCGATGAAAAACAAATATGTTAAATTAACTATAATATGGCCAAATAAAAAAGTACCACTCAAAAAACAAAGAAGCACCATGTAAAGGTGTAACAAGGTACGATGCTTTCGACTCTTAGTTTGTAGCAGCCATGGTGATAAGAAAAACGAGGCTATATATGCAAAAGATATAGCAACAGGACGAGCCAGCGACGCTAAAAAAAAAATGTTTTATAGAAAATATAACCATTGTTAAATCTTACCAAAAATAAGTGAAAATGGCAGCAGGAGGCGAATTAATATAATTAAAACGAACTTAGACATATTTTACTTGTATATGTTAAAATATATTGATCTGTTTATCAAAAAAATTTTTTGACATATAGTACACAGTTACCTAAATTTAAATTAAAACTGCTTTACTACATATTTACTACATCAATCTACTACATACTACATACATATTTGTCTCAATTTGCCATATCCGGACGTGTTTCTTCGATCGCTCTCGCTATACTGCATTTATCTTCGATCTTAGAATTAAAGTTTTCTCCTTTCGCGACAAGTGGAAATATAACGATTAATTTTAAGAATATATTTGACTTAATAAGTTCATTGAACTATTTATTTCTTATATATACATTTAATCGTTTATAGTTATTTCTGCTGCGCTTTAACTATATTTTCCAACATAAAGTCTCTCCGAGCTGTACTCTATGGACGTAACCCGTCACACCGTAGTTACTCTAGAGTTTGTGGTTCTTCACGACGCCTAGCCTTCGTTGCACATCTCTTTTGTAATGTCGTTTCTTACATCAGATCTGATCGACTACTCTCGGCTACAAAGTGCCAATCTAAATTCTTTACACTCTACTGCAGTGGTTTGCAATCCGTCAGCAACGAGTCTAATTTGCATAGCCAAAAAGTTTGAATTTGGTGGATCCATCACGGGTGAATCCTACGTGTCTTGTTGGCTCTGCAACAACTGCTTACTTATTAAATGCAGAGAAATCGAGTCAGAGATGCGGACTTTTATGAAACAGACGAGAAATGGTTTTCTTGATGTTCGGAAGCAATTCTCGGCCCTTAATAAGCAATTCCACGCCCTCGATCTCGAGCCTCCTATCATCTTGGAGCCTCCATCGTTGGACAACCTCCATCGTTAGACAACCTACCCTCTGCTCTTGCTAAGATGTCTTCAAGGCCTCTGATTGGTGTGGCGCCTGTGATTTTCTGGACTTACGCTGAGGGCGGTTGCTCCTCGTAAGGCCATATTTGTCTCTCGCCTTATGCTGGATGCTACTGTTGATGATGTCAGGAGTCACCTGTTAAACCAGCTTAAGGTAGCTCCTAATGAAATAGCTGTTTTTAAGTTTAACTTTAAGCATAAGCGTTCTATTTCTTCTTTTAAAATAGTCCTGCCTGATTCCTACCTTGAAAAAGCACTTGATCCTGTAGCTTGGCCTGAGCACAGTATCGTTCATGAATTCTTAGCAAAAGACGCTCAGAATCCTAGCCCTGCAGTGTCCTCATTGCTGTTAGTAATGAGTACCCTGCTGAACTTATTCCTTTCCCGAATGAGTTCGGAATTGAGTTTATTGCGGTGAAAATTTTAACTGGCTCGTCTCATATTTTCCTGACCTATTCCTACATTCCTCCCATGGCTGCAGATATTGTATATTTTCACCATCTTGATTAAGTATGCTTTTCGTTGGTCAAGGACTGTGATTTAATCCTAATCATGGGAGATTTCAACCTTCCCATCATTTCCTGGATCCCGTCTGAGGTAGAAAATTCCCTGCTTTCCAGTTGTCATAACGACTTTATTGATGGCTTTAGGAATTGTGCCCTACTCAAACCCAACCCATTCTTATCACTAACGGCAGATTTCTGGACCAAACCAGTTTCGCAACCAGTTTATTATTCTTAACAATCAATTGTATAAGCGGTATATTATGAATTGTAAGGTAAACTTTTATAATGATAACCCCTTTGGTTATCAATTTCTTGGTCTGATTTTGCTGAACCGATCCATTTGCTAGGTCCGATCCATTTCGCGTTAATTATAAAAATTACAACTCATTGTCCCATTTATTATCCCCTGAACTATCAAAATTAAATTCAAAATTATGAAATCTCTTTTAGCTTAATTTATCCTTACTTTTAGTTATAATAATGTAGAATAACAGATCATTGTTAATAAATAAATATACGTTGTACATATCTCGACCACTGATTTAAAAACTGCAGCTAATGTAGAAAAATATACATTTTAGACCTCCCATCTTGACCCATGTTAAATTTATAACACAAAAGTCGACGAACGACTCGTATGAAAGAATGGATTTGGAATCAATGGAGCAAGATTCTTTCAATATTATACTATCTTTTACTAGCCACTTACATGGGCTAAAAAGGTTGCGTGCTTGTAGTGTAATGCCCATAATTAAAAATAATGGAACTATTACCTACGGATCCCTTCCACACATAGTGGAAAGTTGTCGACGGATTAAAAATTTAAAAAAAAAAAAATGTATTTGAAACAAATATATCATTTAATATTTGAATACGTTTAATTCTAGCTGCTTCAAATTTTTGTTCGCAGCCTTTCAGAATCGAGAGAATGGGAAGTGCACCAATTGAAATGTAAACTTAAATGCTGGCTTTCTACATCACCATTAATATTGTTGTGTAGGAAAACGACACCCAACATTGTTCTAATATTTGTTAAGGGGGGTAAGTTTATTAGGTATTGGTATCTACTACGATACCAAGGAGGATGAAAATTTGTATCCCAGTTAAGTCCCCTAAAAGAAAAAATTTAAAAATTCTCTTTTACAGATTTTATTTAGTGTTGATGTACTCCTGACAGACACATGAACCGTACTCCAGTATCGGACGGACCAAACAAATGTATAAGGTCTTAGTTATGTAGGGGTCGTTTTTTTCTTTTTTTGTATATAAAACCAAGGACACCTTTAGCCTTATTAACCCTTGTGGAAACATGGTCGGCAAATTTGAGATTTGAGCCTCATAAGACACCAAAATCCCAAACCTGAGTTCATTTTTTCTGAGGCTATTCCATGGAGAAAATACGTAGCATGGAGAGAACAAGAACGATAAAAAGATATAAGTTTGCGTTTTAATCTATTAAGTATTAAATTATTTGCTAAATCATCGTTAGCGAGATAAGTGGGCAAGTTATGAATAAAAAAAGTAAAAAAAAGTATTGTAAGCCAAGGAGGATTTGTTGAAGCGGATTTTTTTTCCTATCAAATATTCCTACGGTGACATTTATCGGTACATGTCAGAATATCGAACCGATAAAATGTATATATTCAGCCATTTGTGGAAAAATCATATTCCATAGGATGCGTGCATGAGGTCAGTATTTCTCCCGAACCGCTGCCGGTACACTGACAGTGTGAGCATGCTAAGATTTTTTAGAAACTCTCTCATTTGATCTCATGTTGACTCACTTGTCAGATCAAACTTTAAAAAAAATGTTTCTACTGAGAATGTTCTCCGAAATTTCGGTGTACCTCCAAAAAAGTTGTCTCCAAATAAAATATAGATATGTTTACGTACTTTTTAATTTCTTTAAGTACTGTTGCTAGAAAAATTTTCTTTAATACAAAAAAGTACTATTTAAGTGCCCATTAGAACCATTTTAGTGCCCATTTAATTAGTGAAATAACAAACTTAACTTTTTTTGCTTAGTGAATGTCCTGCTCTCTTTATTTTTGCTGCTCGTATAATTATTTCATGCACGCAGTAAACGGCACTTTTTCTGTACAGATAAAATGTGCAAAGAAAAAGGTGAAAAGCAATACAATCAAAATTATTTTACAACAAAGTATTTATTTTTATGTTTTCATTACACTCTTGCAGAGGGTATTATAATTTTGGTCAAAAGTGTGCAACGAAGTAAAGGGTTCATCTTTGACCCTACAAAATATATATACAGGTTCACCTCCTGAGTTAATAAAAACATGTCTGTCTGTCCGTCTATCTGTTTTTTTCTACGCGAACTAGTCTTTCAGTTTTAAAGCACGCGTGTTCTGCCGCAGCGCTGCCGGGAAACTGACAGTATGAGCACTCTCAAATTTTTTTAGAAGCTCTCTAATTTGCTCTTAATTTGATTCATTTGACATTCCAAACTTAAAATCCACTGAGAAAAATTTTCTCAAAAATTGTGTTGGAAAAGATATTTTCCATAGAAAATATAGATAGAGAAGCCTAGCTTTTCATTTTTTTAAAAACTCTTGGTAGCAAAAATTTCTTCAAAATAAAATACACTATTTTAGTGCCTGTTCCAACTTTTGATTTAACGAAAAATGAAATAAAAACTAGAAAAAAACTTTTCTACGCATACACTCAAATTTTAAACATGTGTGCGTTTTGCCCCATTAATTGGAAATGCCGAAATCGGAAATAATGATAAGATTGGGAAATGATCGGAGATAGAAATTGGGTATTTTCTATGTATTCTATTTTGGAAAAATAAAACGACATAACAAATTTCATAAGGATCCTAAAGCCCATAACTGCTATAGGAAAAAAGCTATATATCCTATAGAAAAAAAAAAACAAACTTCCAAATATCACACGATTATATCCTATAGCTGACATATAATTGAAAGATTGGAAATGCTATTTGGTAAAAATACTAACTGTTGGGCCAAGCAGCAAAAATAAGTATAAATAGTCTAAAAGAGTTTAAAGACGGGTGAGCACACTAGCTCGTCGCGTATTTTTTGAGTCTCCCCCGCCTCGCCTCTTGCCCACGTAACAATAGGCAGCTGCAAAGCTCGGAGCTTTTCTTGCAAGGCTTCACTTACTTGTATATTAGGCGTTGTTTTGAACGGCTGCAGATTTTGGGTTAAATTGAACCCCTAAAAAATATTGAAAATTGAATTGCAACGTTTTTATTTATTCGGTCGTAACTAAAAACTATAAATTGCTTATAATTGTTGTGACCTCGACGTAATTTCTCCTCTTTTTATACCCTTGCAGAGGGTATTATAATTTTGGTCAAAAGTGTGCAACACAGTGAAGGAGACATTTCCGACCCTATAAAGTACATATATTCTTGATCAGGATCACTTTCTGAGTTGATATAAGCATTTCCGTTTGTCCGCCCGAACTACCAAATAATATTGATCGGCCGACTATATCTTATAGCTGCCATATAACTGAACGGTCGGAAATGGTATTTGGTAGAAATACCAACATTAGTATTTTTGAAGATAGAAACATGGGACTTTTTTTTAGATTTTGTATTGTAATAAATTGGTTATATTATGAAATTAATATAATACGGCCAACTA